GGTGGGTAGCTGCGTCAGCATGCGTAGGCTGCAAAGGAACAAGTAATAGGTTTATTCCATGCTGAAAAAAAGAAGAAAGAGAACACAACGTTTCGGCTGTGGAGCCTTCTTCAGGTGTGTGATTTATTTGCTTTTGTCTGGTTCTATTTGCAAAATAGAATGTTTCAGAGAACAATGACATCTAACTACAATTGCATGAACAAACTAACCCCAATTTTGCCTTATAATGTGAAATTTTAAAAAGCATGGCCATAAGCCTATCTACAAAAGTAATACTGAAATGCCAAAGAATGTCTGATTATGCAGGCATGGAAATCCCTCATTGATCTATTTGTAAAATGATAAATGATTCTGGAGAGACACCTGCAGGCCTACTCTGGGAAATGCACATTATGTTCTCAGCACCATCTGAGCTCTGAATTAAAGAAGCTGCTCATATGTTTTCCACTAAAATGATCAATGCTCTCAAGCTACAGATAAATGTAGTTACAGTATGGAAGGAAATATTTTAATTGAAATCTAGTCCAGTGTGGTACTATTAATGTTTGTGTATTGATCTCATTACCCATTGAGATAAAGATATTTGCTAAGATATTTTCACACCAATTTGATATTTTTCCAGTTTTACTTCCTGAATATTTTTATACAGTTGCTTTGTACATGCAAAGGATAAGATTTTTCCCTGTTTAATACATTTATAGACGCTACACAATAAACCACTGACAGGTTGAGCTGGCAAGTAAAACATCGAAGAGTCAAGGGAAAATAATGTTACTTATCACATACACAAAATAGATAATTTTCATAAGGTCCATTCAATGAGGTCCAAATCCATGTGAAAACCCGCTGAAAACTGATTTACCCAATACGGGAGGCAGCACAGTCCAAGAACTGCACAACGCCATCCTAAATAAATGTTTGCAAAAAACTCCTTCATTCTTGTGTCTGCAAATTATAATAATATACAGTGCTATACTGTTTGCATTATGGTGAATATTGCCATCCTGTGCAATGATAAATGAATATCCTCTATATACAAATATCCTCAGATTCGCTAGTAAGGGTGACACATTAGGGACATTAGTTAGCAATGTTGGTTTGCAATGCTAGGGTCCTGGGTTCAATTCCCGGGGTGCTACCTGCATGGAGTTTGTATGGTCTCCCTGTGTTGGTCTGAGTTTCCTCCCCCAGTCCAAAGACGTACTGGTAGGTTAAATGGCTTCTGGAAATGTGGTCCTGGTGCGAGTGTGGGTGTCTGTATGTGTGTGTGTGTCCAATGCTGGACTGGTGTCCCATCCAGGGTGTACCCTGCCTTGCACCCGTTGCTTGCCGGGTTAAGCTCTGGTGTCCACTGTGACCCTGTACTGGATAAAGTGGTTGAAAAATGTTTAGAAATGTCACAAACTACACAAAACAGATTTTGAAAATCTTTTGTAAAATCAACACTTACATTCATCTGGAAAAGGCAGAGCAACAGGGGCTCTGTTAATATTATGTCATGTTTTGACTGGACACAATCTTAATTAAACTCACTTTTTAGCTGTCTTCAACCTGTTTTATTTAAAACAACATTGACTGATAATGTCTTCATAATCTACTAAAAGGTTTTCCATTTTGAAATAACTTTATTAGCACTTCATTACATTATTCAGTCACAGTGGGAGAGGTGCCTCTTTAGAAAAACAGAGGTTCTTCTATAAAACAGATGCATCACAGCTGTTCTATAAATTTTAAAAGCTGAAGAACATTTTAAAGTGTTAAGCAATCACACTCAAAAATCGTGGTTCCCCACAGCACTTTGTGCAAAGCAAAAACATTGATGCCTCTTAACAGAATAAGCTGCAGCGGTCATACCAGTAGTTATATTCAAGTTTTAATCTACAGCAAATGCAACTAAAAATATTCATTTATGAATATATTACTACTTTGAATAGAAAAACTCAACAGATCATTCTGCAGCTTTATGATCTAAACATTTTCTTTACAACTATATACCAGATTACCACCAGGATTTCTTTCAAAGTGACAAAGCAAACCTATGTCTGAATTAAACTTATGTTTATTTCTTAAATCTTGTAAAATTTCAATACCAGCATTTGGAATATTATAACCAGACTTGTGATTCCCTTCTGATGTTCCTGTAGAAACCAAACAAATAAAATAGACAAGCTGGCTGTCTTAAGCACAGCACTATTTTTACGCACCACTTTGCACTTCAGAAAGAAAATGTCTTTTTGTCTGTCATTTTGACTTCTAAGCAATAGATTCTGCAATATGCATATTTTTGAAAATTGCTAGTCGAGATCATTTCACCTAATTTCAGCAGAGAAATTTTCAGCTTAGTTTTGTACTGTCAATCTGAAATACAGTATTGTAGCCAACTTACATTATATGGGAAATGGGAACCACATCCTCACTTCATTACAACTAGATCTTTGCTGTAATGGGTAACAGCAGGCACAAAATAATTGGAATGCGAGATCAACATCTCAATTACAGAGTGAAATATCATGTCCAGTAAAAATAGATACTATGGAGGACAAAGTAAAACGGACAAAATAGTGCGTTTTCCGTAGTGAGTAAACACAAATGTTAGCATACCTTCAGAACTGCAGTCAGATAAACTGTCTGCAAGAAAATCAGAGAAGGGCTCAGCAGGGCCAATCAGCTCTGATCCATCATGTACTTCTCCGCCCTAAAACAAAAAGACATTTCGTTGGGAAATAAATCATGACTTGACACAAGTATGTGTAGGCTAGGGAATTAAGGGTCCCTCATCTTGTAGAGCTACTCACTGGCTAGTGACAGGCAGGATATCTGTTGAGGTGTTTGGACAGCTGAGGAACTGAGGAACACGATCAGATAATCTGCCTACAAATCCCCTGGATATCAACTTAGATAAGCAAACTCTAATTCAATAGAGACCAGATGGCTCCTCTGCTTAATAGGTTGGAATTTCTAAAACATGACCAACAGCTCATGTGACATAACATAAGTAAAAAGGGGGAGATCTAAAGCTGAAAAGGAGTATGTGGGTGACAGCTTTATAATCCATGTTCACCACAGGATTTATCCTCAATAAACTGAAATGAGGTACTGCCTAAACTAAGGAACTAAGGAAATACTTACCTCTTTTTCTAAATGTATATGTTTGTAGAACGATTTCAAGTTTTCTTCTTAAATCCATCAGGAAGAATTATTTCTTGTAACTCAGCTTTTTTGTTTGGAAACAAAAGATGTTTCATTTCTAACCAGTTTTGAGAGCAGTTTCAACTGCAGGTGCATGATTATTTTTTAAAAACTAATTTAAATACATAGTGCCTAGCTCCCCAATATAGTGGAGAAGGCTAGATGTAAGGTACTGGGCTAACTCTAAGATTAGTCTCCAGTTGTAGATATTAGTTGGTCTCTTGTGTCCACTTTGTGCAATAGTCTTTATTCTTCTTTAATGACAAGTAGTCAAGACATTGGTTTAACAGCTCATCTGAAGGACAGAACCTTTTATAGCTCAACGTCCCCTGTAACTATGTTAGACCAATGTTTTGAAATTTGTAGACCAGAGAGAAAAGCACCACCTACAGAAACTTTTCTTTCGAGTTCTCCTATCCTAGTATTGATCAAGTCCAGGCCTACTGCACTTCTGACAAGATCAGACTAGCAGGGGTTAAGTAATGCTGATTAATACCCAAGATCAATGAGATCCTAATTACCTACCAGTAACCAAACAAGTTAGGCTGCAAACATGTCAAGACACATCTTTCTTTCTCCACACAGAACATAAAAGGCACTTCTTCCACATCACACCATACACAACTGTGTACACACTGATGTCGATGCATTCGTTTCCGTTCTTGTCCAGCTTGCCTGTTGCCTTGCCTGAGAAATGTGATTTTGTGTCTTTTAAGAATGACAGTGCTGTGGATTCAAAATTTGCCTTATGATAAAAACTCTAATAATGACACATGACCATGATGGAATACCATTTATGTACAGTAAAATGATGATTAATAAAGAGAGTGTATTAAAAGGGCCTGTAATGTAGAAGATAGGGAGAGCATTTTTAAGAACATTCCTCATAAAACAAAATGTAGGAAAGCATGGACAAGATATTTTAAACAACAATAATTTGTTACACTCATAACGCTTTTCTGGACACTCCACTCAAACTACTTTATAGGCAATGGAAACTCCCCTCCACCACCAATGTGTAGTTTCCACCTGGATAATGAGACGGCAGCCAAAGTGCAGCAGTACACTCACCAGTCATCAGTTATCAGTGTAGAGGAGAACAGGTGGCCATGATTGTTAAATGCTAAGTGGAAATGTGGCCAGGACACCGGGGTAACACCTTTTCTTTTTTCGAGAAACACCCCCAGATTTTTAATGACCATAGGAAAAGTATTACATCACATCTAAAGGTCATCACCTTTTTTACAGTATAGTGCAGCTATTACAATGGGGGCATGAGGACACACAGACTGCAGTGTGAGCGCTCCCTACTGGAACACCTCGTCAAGCAGCAACCTTAGCTTTCCCAGGATGTCCCCATCCAGGTACTGACCAGGCTGACACCTGCTGAGGTTCAGTGGGCTGCCAATTGTGAGTTGCGAGGTAATAAAGCTACTTATTCAATTAGGAAGACCATAAACATATTAAATAAATGTGCGAGATAAGTTTACGTTTCAAACAGCATGGGACATGCCATTTCAGTAACACCAAGACAAATAGACAGGTAACCACTTTTAAAACCTTTAGAAAAGTCTGGGCAATTCAAAACTTAAAAATGTATTTATTGCACGCATATGCAATAACGGAGTCTGAAAGTACCTTGAAAAAATCTTCAAACTGTTGGCTGTTATAGAGAGCGGGGATGTTGGCAGAGAACTGGAGCAGATCTTCAGAACACTGTCGCCTTTCTTCGATTACAGAATCATCAAACCGGCCTGGCAAGTGACAAAAAAGCAAAGATCTGGTCTTTCTGCTGGGCAAGACTAGAAGTTAAACTTGAGTCAACCAATATTTAATGTGGCATGCTGAACAAAAGAAAAAGATGCTCAGCTTTTCTATCACCGAGTATCACATTTGGAGCACAACAAACAAGCTTGGACAGCTAAAAGGTGGTCCACAACAGCTCTTTATTAGTAACATGTCTCTTTGTCCGCTTGTTCACCTCCTTCTTCAGTTTTTAACTTTAATTCAAATATTACAAGCTCTGTAGCAAACTACAATGTTTTTGAAAAATACTGTATTGGTCAATGAGTTCCACAGTTGCGGAGTTGCACACACAACTCATAAAATATGTCCTTTTGGTGATCAGGAGCTAAACCATTCAATAAGTCAAGATAGATCATGAACAAACAAAAGAACAGTCATGGAAAAATATTTGTTCCAGTGTGTTGTAAGACAAAAAAGTAACTTTAATATCTATTATTATATACTGTCAATGAAATAATCAATGTTGCAGTATACTGTATTACTACATCAGCATAAGGAATGAGTAAAAATTATCAAAAATGTTTTTCTTTTCCCCATGTCAGCAAGAAATTAACCTCTACTCACTCCGTTGCATCTCACATGCTGAAGCAGCTTCCCTCTCCTTGATTAATTATGCATATATATCACTTTAATGTTGACTACCTCCTGCTTTTGCAGTTTCAAAGCCATGAAAAGAAGAAAATCCAAGCCCGAGTCTTACCGAACACCTTGGCCTTAGCAAAGGGAGGAAACAGTTCCGACTGCCTGTAGAGATTTTTGTGAATCTGCCAGAGCTCCTTGTGCAGTTTCCTGAAATCGCTGTATCTTTTCCATACAGTTATCTGAAAGAGAAAGAGAGACGTCCTTCTTGTCAGGCCAAGATGGGTCCCCACACTGTAGCTTTGCCTAGATCTCCAACTGCACTCAACTGCCCTGTCCACGAATGCTATGTGGCATTAACTTAGACATCCCCCTTCCAAGTTTAAGTTACAAAGAGATACTAAGGTACTTACTGTACTTTTTCTCAGGATTGAAGGCAGTATCAGCCTGAGATATTTAACTGCAAAGACGGAGCCTAACAAAACAGTGGTGTGTTTTCAAGACCAACTGCCCATGTGAACTGCTGTAATTGATATCATGCTTTCAGCATTTTCAGCTTTTTTTTTCTCCCAGCATCAGCATCTTTGCTTAAGAATGAAAAGAAAAAGATTAAGACTGCAATTCTTTCAAATAAACTGTACATCAAATTTACAGCTCTTTCTGATTTACTTTCAGCATGTGTGCAGATTTACAGTTTGCCAAGTGATATGATTATGTTTGGTGGGTTTGGTTTAATTCTAACACTAATTTTCATTTTGTGGTTAACTACTACTACAGTTAACACTATTATTGTACTGTTAAACTAAAGCTAAGCAAGTTAATAAAGCATTAAAATAGGTCAAAGCAAAATGTTAAATCTATTAGCTGGAATCAGAATAAATGTTTAATAGGTTTAAGGTTAAGATGGAAGTACCATACATTTTGATAGAATTGTAAGTTTTATTTTGAAACATAATTCATTTTAGTTGTTGTAAACCTAAAAAAAAAACATCTTCAAACAATTGTCTTAAGTTCCTGAAGTATGGGAAACCCAAGAATAAAATATGTAGCCTGGAGCTATCTTTACATGTAGAATCATGCATTACCTTTGTTTTACCCTGATTGGGGATAGCCAGTTGTGTGTTTATCAGGTCTCGGCTCACAACGACCAACAAGAATGAGGAAGTGAGGAAGTGTGAGGACACTCCTCTAATAAGCCGCCCCACTTTGAGATACGTCTTCATGTAACACGTCACAGGCTGTGCAGCCCCTGCCAGCGCTTTAATGCCAACTGAAGGAGAGATGCATCCCTCACTGACAGCACCACATGCCTACAACCCCCAGGAGACGGCAGGGGTCAAGAGCTGGGAGAATTCCGGGCGACTAATCCTCAATCAATTACCGACTTGATCTTAATCCTAACCCAGACTCCAACCTGAGATCACAGAATCCCCGTTATCAGTCGAGTCTTTCAGGAGACTCCCGAATTGTATTTTTACCAAGATTTCTACCACCTGACCCATCCAATCATCCATTTTCAAGCAGTTTTATCCAATCCAGGGTCACAGGGGGGCCAGAGCCTATCCCTGCAAGCAACAGTCACAATGCACCACCCACCATTCAGAAAATAATACATTTACACAGACAGAAGAACTTGTGTTGGCAGAGCAACTCATCACCATCCCCATATCACATTTAAATGATTAAAGGATATAGAATAGATACATCTGTAGAAAACAAACTGGAGGTTCTACAGCACATATTCATGGAAACCACAAAAGCCCGAAGCATAATTGTGACAACATTACCTATATGCAAAATAAAAAAAAACCTTTCTGAATTAATTTCTACCCTCAATTTGGAACATTCTGTTCACTGTTTTTCTGTGTATTTCTACACAATGTAAGTTATGTAAAAGTGCAGATATGAATTAAAAATAAAAATACTTATACAGGCTATGTATAAAAAAACTGCTGCTAGGATACAAATCATATGACGTATTACTTTCTCATGCATGCTAATTGGCTGCATAGCCTGCAACACCCAATAAGAAAACATCACAGATGCAGTCACAGATTATACTTGTTACAGACATACCTATTTCTATTCGCAAACATTACCGACTGCAATGGATTGAGGTATAGCTTCTTTTTTTTTTTTTAGGTATGGCAAGACTAGAAAACTTTTGATAGATGCCCCCATAGATAATCACATGCAGAATTATATGTAGCTCCCCTGAAACACACACTGGTTTGAAAGCTCCGAGATTTTAATCCTGGGTCTGTGTACAAACACCAACATATTCTGATCACCTTTGAGCATTCCCTGTACTGCTAAACAGGCTTACAACTGAGAAGGCTTTGAAATGGATATCAACAGTGCCATACTCATATGTGCACCCAAACCACGCCAGTAAAACATGTCCCCACCTATTTCCTCTACAGCTGAAGAACAGCACCCACCTGGGAGATCAGTAGCAGTCATAATACCATATTGACAGTTCCACTGCAGAGAAGATCAGTTTTAGAACTGAGAAATTGCTTTTCCCATTTTAATTTAACTGTGAACTTCTAGGTAACCAGATTTTACCATTTCAGAAAGGAACTTAGTCAGGGTACCGGGTTTACCCCTCGTACTCTTACAAACAAACGGTGCTACAGTATATAACCTTCAATAAAACACATAACTAAGATTTTGACCTAACATCTCACATGAAGGACAGAACAATGTCCCCAGTCACCATACTGAGGCGCAGGTATGGCAGTTCTGGTCTGGAAGAGGAAGTATGCAACTTACTGGTTGACAAACACAGCTACAGGTACATGGTAGCTGTAAGTGTTCTCTGGAGGTTTTTCATTTCCAGTTCCTGGAGATCTTCCAGTATTGATTCAACCTTGCTTAATTTCTGAGATACAGTATGAAAAGATTTGGCTAAAAAAAGTGATAAAATTGCTCTTAAACACAGTGATTTTCTTTGGACTGGCTCTAGAGTAGCAATACCTTAATGAGATTTTACTAGTACACCGAGAACTGTTAATCTTGATTCAAATTCTACACTTAACTACATGTCCTAGTTTATTACTTATTAGTTTATTTAATACATTTTAAATACTAATTAGTATTTAGTTTTATTTTTTCTTTCCTGCACATTGTAGAACACAGTTTCTCAGTCCAGTTCCCAAAGTATCCCTGTGTGTCTTGGAAATAACACACAAAAGAGATTATGGCTACTAAGTGTGGCCAATTACACAATGCTTTGAGTTGTTTTTTTAAAAGCACTCAAAAATTGTTTCATTGTTTTTATTATGTTCTTCAGACTGTTTCTCAGAGGAGGATAGATGGTGGCTAACCTCAGTGATTAAAGTTTAAAACTGAAGAACAGACCTTTTCAGGATTTATTTATTGGCTTTTAAAACACTAAATAACACCACACAACAAAACCCAAACCTAAAGTAATGAATGACTTGAAAATGCCAAATAGAATGTGCTGTCTAAAGCATGAATAACTAGTAATTATTAAGCATCATCTTAGGAATGCATCACATCATGTTTGTGATTATGCCTGTCATTGGTTTCCATGGTCTTATCAAAGTGATTATTTAACTTCACTTACAGCTAAAGAAAGAAATAAAAAAAAATAACAAAGCAAAACCTGAAAATCTCCATTGTACATCTTTATATAAATCTTTATAAAGCAGAAATTACTACCATAAGTTTCTTCAGCAGCATTTGGGACACTGTTCTCTCACAATGTCTAACACAACCTGGACTAGGAAGGCTCTGCAAAACTATAGTCTACCAATACGGAGATAATTCTCAGCAGAGTTTCCACAGATCCCGGAAGACTGCTAAATTTAGCATCAATGTCCAATATCATCGATACTCTAGGCAAAAGCTTTGGTTAAATACGTTCACTTTTATCATCATTTTTGGTAACATCTTTCTGGAACTGCTGATACTGGGATATTGAATATACTTTGTATCAAATGTTTGTTAAAAACAGCAGATATCAATAGAGTAACACTGCAATATTCAATATTCCAGATTACTACCTGGAGACACAGTCAGAGGGAAGACAAACGGCCTAAAACGGCTACAAATTGTTAAATATCTTAGGATGATGTTTTAAATTGTCATTAAGTTACTATCATTTTCTTTTACATCCTTTTGATGACACTTTAACTGCCCCATACCTGGCTATATACCCTTATTACTGTGACCTTGTCACTTGTTAACCATCAATAATAGTAAAATGTATGATAGAAGCGCTGAAACAGAATAGCAGCTATTTCCAAAATTAAACAAGACGACATTGGACAAAAACATTAACCTTTCTCAGTTCCCAGCATTTATACTATAAAGACAACGAAATCCATTCCAGGGGTTTTTAACCTTAGCTTCTTTATGAAGCCTTTAATTATTGAAGAATTCTGTAGATTTGGGTTTACTAAGGTCTTACAATATGTTTCTGAACTTACAGGATGTTACTGAAACATTTTTTACTACGTAGAAATTACAGCAATGAAGAATAAAAAATAGTTCTCTCCTAGCCTCTCTGTACCAAGTGTTTCCACGCTTTTGAAAGATATCATAAATCTTCAAGACAAGAAGTCATATAAATGTACTAAATGAGACAAATCCATTAAACCCATCTAGTTCAGGAAACCGGTCTTTGTTCCACCACAGATCTCAGATCATACATAACTAATCTATTTACATAATCACCCCCACAATTGTAATTCTTTTAAACAGCATCTGAGGCATTTTACAGGTAAATGTGTCTTTAATGATGTGAATGATTTGAAAAAACAACTGTAAAATAACCTAAGAAAAATCCTTCATATCTAACTAAGAAATTACTAGGCCCTCTGGGATTTTAGTTTGAGAACCCTGGTGTAAATCTTCTCAATCTCAGAGATCATTTTCCCCAAAACTATTGTAAGTAATCCAGTGTGTAAGGATCCATTACCTCTTGGACATCTTCAGGGTTCCTCCTGGAGATTATCTAGAAAGAACAAAAGAGAAGGCAATCAGTGAGGAACAGCTGCTGCCCTGAAATCCCATGTAAATTCACAGAAAGTCATTCATTTCCAAGGAGAATACTGCATACCCAGAATAGAGGGAAGAAACATATTCCACTCATGTAATCAGACACGTTCTCCTTCCTGCCAATTCAAAAGTTATTTCCACTCCCCTTAGTTTCTAGACAATCACAAGCAGGCTAAATTAAATATCTATTTAAACATAGTAGATATTCACTAGTCTTTGGAGAAGTGTTGGCACCAACACAAACTTCATATTTAACAGTAAAAGTAGCATCAAAATAGAGGGCTCAATTAAAGGCCAAGGTGGTCAGACAGACAATACTCAGCTCATATTAACCATTCCAAAACAAAAACACAGGATGGGCCTTTCTGTTTAAGAAATGTAATGTTATTAGGTTCAATTAAACCAATAAACGTAAAATATAGACTAAAATGAGAGTGTCTTTGCTATGGACAAGAGATAGCTCCACAAAAGATGTTGCAAACAAGAAGAGAGAGTGGGAAAAAAAGTAAAAAAGAACCAAATTACAATACTATAATTTATTTATTTTAAAATATGGTAATTTAGAACAAATGTACTTTATTTTAGAATAAGGTAAAATACTAGAATTGCTCGATTATGCAGCCAAACAAATCCCATGAGGCATAATTACAATATCCATCTGCCTCTACCGTATTTTACCTGAAATACCTAAAATTAATTTTCTGAATTAGACATTTCATTTTTAATGCACTCTATAAAGAGTGTACAAAATGACAATTTTACATCCAGTATGTTTGTTGTTTGTTCAGGTATGTGTCAGTAATATATTACGTAATGAAGCCCCAGATGTGTACTATGCAAATAATAATAAAACTGGCTGTTATGCAATGTTCCAAAAAGGACTGGAACTTAAGAGAACTAAGCTCTCCAAAAATGTCTTGCAAGGCAGCCAGCCAGTCCCTGGTATCAAAAAGGTTAAGACAACACTGTTATATAAACCTAGCTGTACACACAGTTAGGTCAGTTATGTACAGTAGGTGAAGTTTAGGATGGGTGATAAACCAGTAGTATCATTTTAAGGCACTGTAATGCCTTTCCATCCTTTTTTTTTATTTAATGTACTACTGCAGAAGAGATGGAATGACAGGGTAGTTCGTAAGATTACCAAAAGATGGCAAATGGCACCTATCATCTCTCCAGTCCATTGTACAATTCTTTCCAGAAAAGGCTGGCATTAAGCGGAACTAGATAAACCCTTAGAAAAGTAATGAACTCCAAAACCCTCTAGTTAAAAACAAGGTTCTATACCACTTCGCAGGAGCTGTGCATATCGACTTGTTCTAAACACCTGCTTTTCCCAATTATTTCCACTTGTGCCTATTTTGTGTTTTATGACAATCACTATGTGGATTTTGAGTACTACAATCAGTCCTTCTTGCAGTCTTCTCTGCTCAAGATTAAAAAGATTCAGTTCTTTTCACCTCTCCATGATGCTCTGCTACTACTTCGTTCAGGTCTATCCACAGCAAGGTCTATCGCAACTGGCTAAAAGTCCCACAAATGTTGAATTGTTTAGAGCAATACATGGAGATTGTTTGGCTTGTGTATTGGCTTCTCATAAAATTGGTGTTTTAGATCTTTTTGGTCTACGACTTCAACCAGAAGTATATTCCATTCCATCCATTTCTAGCCATTTTATCCAACAAACAACAGACACAAGGCAGGACACGCACCGGACAGGACCCCAAACAAACACAACACTCACTCCAGGGCACATTTTCCTGGAAGCCAATTATCAGTATGCCTTTGGACTGTGGGAAGAAACTGGACACCCAGTGGATACCCACACAAACAGAGAGATAACATACAAACTCGACACAGATAGCACCACTACAAACCACTGCACCACTCTGCCACCCAGTATTACTTATTAATACTTTTAAATTACTGAGCCAATAGCATCCCTTCACATGCCAGTGTTTCAACAGTGTTCTATACCTATTTCTTTTAATATTTCAGAATGACTGTCTTGTTCCCAGATTTGTTCCACCATATTATTACTTTAAAGACAACAGTTTCTGTATTTGTTATAAAAGCTATAACATTCAGGACATTATTGCAATTATACATTAGTTTTCTCCAGTCGTTCGTAATCTGGGGCGCATGCACCCCCTGAGGATGCCAAATGTCAGATGTTAATAGAAGGTATAAATCGTTAAAAACACAAATGAACCACATGCACGTAAGTGCAACTACTTTATTTCATCAAGTCTAGGTATCTTAATTAAAACATTAAAAACATGTAATTTTTTCCATGTACTCTAAATTTAAATGAACAAAAAAAAATTATTACTGTATAGCTACAATATATCGTAGGTAGAAAGCACTTACCTACTTCAACGATTTTTTAAAAAGGGAGAACATATTTGGAGAAAGGTTAAGAGCCACTGCCCTAATCAAAAGCAAGGGGAGTGCACAAGTACAGACTCGATATGGAACAGTGGCATCATTCGCCTCCGTGTCGCAGGTGGCTCACACCTATCATGTTAAAGGACTGACCCACGGGCACAGCAGTTTCACACTCATCTGAGCTGAGTGGCCAAGACCCTGTGACATGAAAGCTTCAAACCTAGGGGGCTAGGGGACGCTGAGTTTGAATAGGCTGTATGCTACGTGTGCATTGATAAAATCTTCTCCTGTTAGCCTTTTAGTCAGAGTAACTTTTCACTAAAATGAGAGATTGCAGGGTAAGAATACAGCTTGCAAATTCAACCCCGTGTCTGCTGAATCTGAGAGGAAATTCACCATGCTGTACAAAACCTCTGACAAAAGAGAGGTGACAGGCCGAAAAAATTACTGTATATCTTGTATATCTTCTGCTTTTAGGGATGTGCTGGTATTTTGTTTAGTGATTTATTACAGTCACCAAAATGAAAGACGAATTCTAACAAAAAAAATCACAGAAAAATAGGTCACTCTGTTAAGCAGTGTAAATTCGTTCCTTGCAAACCATAAAAGCAAAGGTTTGACTACATCTGGTAATCTTTTAAACTCAAAATACAAAAGTCTTACGTCACTAATAACTGCACAGTAGTAAAAGACACTAGCCCTTTTAACCCTTTCTACACAGGAAAAACAAGAATATGCTGTGAGAACTCTACTTTATTTTAATGAATACTTATATGGAATGTGTCCAACTAAAGCTTTGAAAATGTACAGATTAAAAAAAAAATATTTAGCTTCAGTGCAAGAATCAGATTGGTTGAAAGCACACTGCAGAAGCTGATTTACTGACGCCTTTTCCCCCATAAAGTCAGATACAATGTTTTGTGCAAAAAGCTACATGAAAAAAAAACACAAGATTACAATGAAGATTCTCTCACCAGTCAAAACCAGCCCATATGTTGCAATTAAACTCTGTTTATCTCTATCTCCTCACACCCATTCTGATGCAGAAGCCAAGTAATTACTGTACTTTTAAAAGATGGAAAGAAAGAATACATGTTGTAGCTGTTCTTAAAACTGTAAGTCACACATCAAAGCAAATCACTTAAAAAACCTACAGAAGTACAGCACATCACACATCTCTCTAAAATGGACACCTTATATGAACAGTAGTTTTTTTTTTTTCCGTCGTTACACCAGGGGAATTTTAACCAGTGATGCCAAGGGATTATCAGACAATATCCAAGGTATCCACAAAACAGAAAGGTTAACATTTCATCTAAGCCTAGTAGTGCTGTAAGTGCTGGTTTTACACACATGGGACAGAGCTGTTCGTAGATCTGTTGGCCGGCAGGTTTGATTTTAATATTAGCAATGTTTACGAAAGTTCGGCTAGTATTTTATTATATGTTTTACGTAGTAAGTTTGGGGAGCACAGTGACACATTAGTTAGTATTGCTGCCTTACAATGCAGGGGCCTGGGTTCAATTCTGGACCTGGGCTGCTATCTGTGTGGAGTCTGTATGTTCTCCCCTTGCTCACATGGGTTTTCACCATGGTATACTTCCACAGTCCAAAGACATACCGGTAAGTTAATTGGCTTCTGGGAAAACTGGCCCTGGTGTGAGTGTGATGTGCTGGCCTGGCGATTCGTCCAGAGTGTGTCTTGCCTTGCGCCCACTGTTGGGCAGGATAGGCTATGGTTCCCCCTCAAACATGAATTGGATGAAGATGTTAGAAAATGGATGGATCGATAGAATTAGTCGGTTTCCATACAGAGTGGACATTTTCGATAAGAAACCCCTCAGACTAAAATTCTGGAGAAATTTTAACTTCCTATTGGTGCAAAAAAATGTCGTTAAAAGTCAACAGGAAATGTATCCTGTTGCTACTGATATCAATATTATGATTGTGTTCTTTTGGCTCAACAGTAAATTACACCACAGTAGGTGTAATTATCTTTTCCTGTATTTTTTACTGTTCATTAATTCCTGTGATATTATTGTAAGATTCACTTCGAAACAACCAGTGCAGGGTTACACCTAGACGACTTGTGACACTATGGTTCAAGAATCCCTCTTTCCATATTTAACCAGATGTTGTTGTGTTCCTGGTTCGTCGGGTTTCACAAACATCTTTTGGTCATACCGAGAACGGCAACATTCAATTTGAATTTATTGAGTATTTCATTAATTCTTGTCACATTATTTTCTTTCTCACTTACAATGTACATTCTGTATTACTGAAAAACGTTGTTATTACTTGCTTTACTTTATTTAAAACGTAGTGTCTCGTACAAAAACATGTTCAATACTTCTCTGAGAAAAATAAAGAAGTGTATAGCTTCAGTTGGGTACAAATGAGCATCCTTCATACATTGTCCTGGACGTGTCAAGGTACTTGACACTAAAAACAGCATCACAGTAAATGACAACGCGAAAAAAAAGACTTTGATAGCTCGAATTCGAAATTTGCATCATTCACCAAATCACAATATCAAAAGTGTCGTTTTGCTTAAAAACATTTTATTTGATTCCTATTTTTTACGTGGAAAACATCAACAGTACATTGAAATGACATTGCAAAGGAGCTCCCCACGCCTCAGCGTTCGTATCAAAATTCAGCCGCAGAACTACACTTACCCGTGCTGTGACTTTGTAAACGGTGTATCCTTTCTGGTGTTTTTTGGGGTCGGTTACAGTGTAAAATCGAGCGAGGTCTCCCTTATCCCTCTGAGATATCATTCTGGTTAAAGCAAAGCCATCACATTTCTTATTACTTGGGATAATCAGGTACTGTAGATACTACCGGAAGGTCCGCCCTTTGTTTTCCGGAATAGTCCAGGACCTGCCCTCGGAGAGTTTTTATTGGTCTATCAAAAATTACCCCGCTTGGAAACGCCTAGTGTGTAAATACAGTTATACAGGACGACGCACAACGGAAAGGCCTGTAGTGCCCACGAAAGCGGATGAGACTGAAACAGAAATAAGATTTTGCTTCGTGAAACGATAATGTTATACTGTCTTTTCACAGATTACCAATGAATGTGCTTTATATTACACTCTTAACAATGTAACATTTCTGTCAAACTTAATAAAAATAAGCGAACTGTGCATACTGTACTTACAGTGCACAGTGGCAGAATGTAATGCCAATTGTAATGCCAATTGGTGATTGGTTATGGTTTAAACATTTATTTTATTTATATGAATATTTGATCCTAATATATATACTTATACATACTTACATAAGTATTGGGACAACAGGTGTTTCAAATTGCGCATGTGCTCCATATTGCATTAATAGTGAAAACAAAAAAAAACTGTGATGTACGGCCTTGGTTCCAGCCTTTGCAGTTTACATTTTGGTCTGCCTCTTGAGTCAGAAGGCATAAACCAAGATGAAGACTAGAGAGCTGTGAAGTGAAGAGTCTCTAATGTAGAGAGATTGGGCATTCCAAAATCAACACTATGGAACGTCTTGAAAATGAAAAAAAAACACTAAGTAAGAAATCAGCAAAACTAGGTTATCAAAGTAAGAAAACGGTAAGTTATGACAGAAAAACCATTAGGGCTGTGAAGAAAACTCCTATATTTTCCAGAGAGGTGTGAAAGTATTTAAATTCAATCTGTTACACTGCAAGATATGAACCTCTCATCATTACTAAAAGCAGAAAGGCCAGATAAGAATTTGCAAAGTACAACGATGAGCCACAACATTTCTGGACCGAATTTTAATGGACAGGTGAGATGAAGATAAACCTTTATCTACATGATGGAAAGGCAAAGTTGTGGAGAAGGAGAGGAACTTCATATGATTCTAAGCACAACACCTCACCTGTGAAGCATGGTGGAGGTTATGTCATGGAACTGGCTCACTAATCTTTATTGATAATGTAACTGATGGTGGCAGCAGCAGCAGAATGACTCCTGAATTGTCTGCCCAGGTGCAAAAAGTACCCCCAAACACGTTCTGTGTCAATTCAACCTGCAACAAGACAATGACCCAAAACACACTTAACCAAAGAGTTTATGAGGAAGAAGAAGTGGGAAATTTTTAACTGGCCAAGTCAATCTCCTGATTTGGATACTATTTAGTATGCCTTTTACCTGTTAAAGAGGAAACTAAAGTCAGAAAAACCCACAAACAACAACTGAAAGTGGCTCAGACCATTTCAAAGAAACATATCAAGAGTCTGGTGATGTTGATGGGTCACACACTTTAAAGCAGTCATTGCATGCAAGAGGTATGTGACAAAATAC